TGTGCTTACTTGCGCCAGGCGCCATCTGAGTGCACGTACATTGGTATTTCTGATCCTCCTAACTTAAGGACATCTACTTTACAGGTAGGAAATCATGGCACAGAGAAGTGATTTGCCCAACAGTTATAGAACACTATCCTCTGTAGGCATGTGTGTGTGTCTATCTTACACACACACACACAAAGGAGGGGGAGGGAGTGGAGAGAGAGTACGCGCGTTATGTTGAAATATGTTCTTTTCCTGGAGAAATAATAATAATAATAATAATAATAATAATAATAATAATAATAATAATAGAGAAGAGAAATTTCTTCTCGTAGACATCATACATGCTTTCCTGGCCTCATAACAACTTCGTAATGTAGGTGTTTGCTTAACTTATTGAAGCCTCTGAAGCTTGGAGAGGTGTCACGTCCCGTGACTCCACGGCTGAACTGAGTGACCCCGAACCATGGGCCTTCTACTGCGATTGTGGTTGAGAAGCTCCGTGTCAGTTCATTTCTTGGGGTAGCAAAGGTGGGGGTTGTCAGGGCACCCTACTTCTGCTGGGCACCCTGAGGCTGGCAGCCCTATACTGAGTGGCTAAAACCTAAGCAGTCTCTGCCACTCACTAGCTCTGTAGCCTGACACCCACCTTCTCCAGTCTTCAATAAGCGATGCCTTTGTATCTACTTCATGGGTGGATGGAAGTCAAGTTCACGACAGGAAGGCGGCAGGGTTCCAGGGAAACAGTACCCAATACAAGTCTTGAGCAAAATTCTGTCATTGTTACTAAGACAAGCTGTTCGTCATTGGACATGCCTGTTGGGCCCCTTTCCTGTGCCACTGTCTCATGCATGCATTGTTCAAGTTCACTGGCCATATATAGCCTTTACTGTGTGTTCCTCATGAAACAGTTTAAAAATATGCTATCGTCTGTGACATTCAATTAACACATCATTAAATAGTATTAAAATAGCACATGCTGAGTTGTGGGAATGGTTCGGTCGGTAAAGCACTTGCTCTAAAAGCATGAGAACCCGAGTTCTGGTCCTCAGGATGACTCATGTAAAAGCCAGGCATGGTGATCAGTGTCTGTAGCTGCCGCACTAGGGAGAGAGAGACAAGAGGACCCTTGGGTCTCACTGCCAGCAGTTTAGCAGAATTAGTGAGTTCCAGGTTCAGTGAGAGACTCGGTTTCAAAAATTAAGGTGGCAAACAGTTGAGGAAGACACCCAACCAATGACGCCCAACTCTGGCTTCTATACACATGCGCATACATGTATATGTGTATACACGTACAAACACATTTGCACACACCTACGACCAGAGTAAACTAGAGCATTAAAAAATGAATAAGATCTTTAAGATATTAAAGGCCACCTGTAATTGCTACCACAGAAGCAACTAGATTGGCATTGATGTGTACCGCTGCTTGGCTGTCTATGTTCTGTAAAACACACACACATTCACACACACACCACCACCACCACCACCACCACCACCACCACCACCACCACCACCACCACCATCACCATATCTCACCACATCTCATACCACATACCTCCTCAGTCCTAAGACTCTCTGGGGGCCCGATACTTTCATGTCTACTTATGCTGCTGCACTGTCTTCCAGGAAGGCTGTCTTCATGGACCTCATTTGCAGAGTGTGGCAGTGGCTGCACTGTCAACTTTGCTGACTCTGAAGAGTAATTTCTTCCCTTACAGTGTGATCGCCAGGGTTCCTTTTACCTCATTCTGAATGAACTTCAGAAACCCTAGAGCAAATCAACACTGTTCCATAGGGCTACTCTGTCTGTTAATGTTTGGGCATCCCAGCTGTATTTGGTACCAGGCCATGGCTCAGACCTGGCCAGGAACATTTCTGTAGCATCTTCCAGAAGAATCCTGGAATCTTTGCCTGTTTATATGTTAGTTAAAGGGAACAACTGCCAGGTTTGAGAAGCAGGCATTATCTTCCAAGGGAGGGTGTGCACAGGCAGAGGAGAGAGACCTGCTTTTTATTTTGCTAGAATCTATTAAAGATGTCTCCTAAAGTCAACACTGGAAACATTTAACCTTTAACATGAATGCTAGCTTGGAGGATTGCATCTTCCTTATGTTTTACTTAATATCTAGACCTGTATTTTGGTTACTAACGTAGATGACCCTGGATAAAACAGAATATCTATTCCTTAACTAAAATGGGAAAATAGACATAGGAGCAGGTTTCCTCTGACATGACAAAGAATGCCTGTTTTAGACTAGCACCTCATCCCTATTAACCCAGGCAACAAGCTAAGCTGTTTATCATCCCTGTGTCCACGGCTTTAGTTATTGTTGTTTGAAAGCTTGTTTTCCCAGGCATTGTGTTAGGTTCTTAACATTCATTACTCTTAATTTAAAAAAAAAAAAACTCACAAAGTAAGTATTTTGAGCATTTCATGCATGGTACTATGACCAATAGTGTCCTAGTCATTCTGCTAGTTCACACCTGTTTGAGCAGCTGTTGGGAACTGTTTGACTGCTAACCCACTTGGTCTTCCTCTTAGCCCCATGTAGATCGATGTTACTGAAATATACTCTAGGGAGGAGCTAGACAGCAAAGCACAGGGGCGAGGGGGGCTGTGATCCTGAAGTGATTGCTGGATATGCATTGGCCAACAGGACACTTGTGCAAAGCCATCTCATTGTCTTTGCCGTGTGTCCCTTATTGGTCTTTCTTGCCAGACAGGGTTTGGGGAACTTTACTTTCATCGAGTTGGATCACAATTGGCAATTTTGTTTCAGTTCCCTCCTGCTCAGAGCTGGAAATGACTGGCCTAGAGAAGCAGTGGACCTTTCTAGGTTTTCAAGTGATAGTCAAGATCAATTCTACTCTGATGTTTCCCTTACTCACAGGCATTGAGGTTGTTGGCTTTAAAATGCTGAAACTAATGTTGCATGGAGCACTAGAATAGCAGGTAATAAATGTTAAGTTTCCAGAATCGTAGACATTTGTTATCTACTGGGTTAATCAAGGCTAAAGTAACTTCTTCACATAGGATTTCTCAGTATGTGTGTAATGGGCATTGGCAGTTTTAATAAGGGAGATCGATGCCCAGCTTTTCCTACGCTGTTTCCCCTGGAGCCCTTGTCTGCTATTGACAGCCCTGACCTCCAGCCTTAGGACTTGAGAGAAGCTGGGGAATTCAGCTGTTATTTCAGAAACACATATAATATCTTCTTAGAAGCGGGTTGTGAGGGGCTTGTCAGGGCGTCGCTGCCCTTCCTTCCTTACAGTCACAAACCCAGTAACTGCCCAAGTGAGGGATTCCCCCCACCCCCGCCTCGGTACTTCCCAGTGTGTGCACTCAAGCTTTGTGGACATAATGAGAGGCTGATTTAAGATTATATCAGCATTATAATACTCAGGAGTTTTCAGGGGAATGGCTCAAGTGTGCTTTTAGCCTATGGGATAACCGTCACATGACTTCCTAGTTCCTATAGAGAAAAACAATGATAGGATGCAGGATGGGGCAGCAGCGGCCGCAGTGGCCATTCCTTTGTCCTCAGAGGAGCCTGATGCACACTTTATCCCAACTGTCCTGCTGAAGCATATCTTTTCTAGACTGGCGTGTCCCTTCCCCCCCCCCCCCCCAGGGACTAAGCTAAGAAGAGTGAACCCAGCAGAAGGCTGTATTCCAAAGAACAGAGAGAGGTGTCAGCAAAGCTGCTCCAAAGGTTCACCTTTCTTTCTTTTTTCTTTTCTTTTTTAAATGCAAACATCAAACTTCTCTTCCTTAGGTACAGCAGAGAAGCTCAAAGGAAATAAGGAACAAACAAGGAGGAGTTAGAGGAAGTCCCGTGGGGAGCACCATGTGGACACTGTTCACACCGTGCAGCTCCTTAGCTGGGCTGAGCTCACAGGGGGAGACACAAAAGATGTCTTGCAGACCAGACAGGCCCTTTCCTTCCCTTCCCTTCCCTTGCTTGGAGAAGCAAACCATAAATCATACTTGAAAATCTGAGTAATTTTCAAAACGGTACCAACAGCTATTGAACTTCAGGGTGTGACAGAAAAGACCCCCTCCTCCTGTGGCCCAGGTTGGTGAAGTGCTTCGGGTGTGGGGTGAAGAGATCAGCTAAAGAGCAGCTGATCTGAGGGGGCCGGTGTTGAGGAGGGTACTGTGCCCAAGGGCTAAGAACCAGGCCCAAAGGCTGAGACCAGAGAGGAAAAGGCCAGGCACAGCTCACAAAAGGCTTCTGGTCTGACCGATAAGGGCAGAACCGGTTGCCTGACAACCAGGAAAGTGCAAAGAAGATACTTTTGACTGTGGATTGATTTGAAATCAAGGGTGTTTAACTTGGTGTTAAAGGAGGTTCCAGAAATGCCTGGCTTATTAGAAACAATGTGTTAACTGTGATGAATAGGGAGAAAATCACTCCCTTCTGTTGCCCAACATTCTCTTTCTTTAAATTAGTATTTGTTCCTGGAAAAGCTTGTCTGGGGAGACCTAGGTGCCTCAGCCTGAGGCAATCTCATGACACTTAGTGGGAGACTCTCAGCACCCCAGAATTCATGGGGTCTGACAGTCAGGGCTTCTGAGGCTCTGCTGAGGGTGGGGAACTAGCCTAGGCTCCGTGAGGGAGCAAAGGTGGAGGTCAGTGGATACTGGGAGGGCAAATCACTTTTGCAATTTAGTTTCCTCTCGGGCACAGTGGTTGGTGCCAGCGGTGGCTCTCAGGCTTTCCCTTCTACCTACTGAGCACACCTGCCTGCAGGTGAACAGGGAGACGCGAGTCCCTTAACCACTCCAAACCTGCTTTCATGCACTCACTTTGGGAGTACTGCCCAGAGGTGAAAGACTGGAGATCCCAGGACCTGCCCAGTCAAGTGACCAGCAGTGAGCAAAGCCGCCACAGCTCCAGGTCCTTGGGCTTCCTCACAGGTGGGCTTGCGTGGGACAGTAGGACAGCTTTCTTGCTTGTTACTGGGTTTTTCTGTCATTAACAAATCTTCTTGTCTCTGTTGACCTCCAGAAATGGCTTCAGACATACCCGGATCTGTGACCTTGCCTGTTGCCCCCATGGCAGCCACTGGACAGGTGAGAATGGCAGGGGCCATGCCTGCCCGAGGAGGAAAGCGGCGATCCGGGTAAGCAGACCCATCATTTCCGGAAACTGGATTTAGTAAAAGTTGAGCAATGCTCTTTCCCAGCTAGAAAAGTATTGTTTTTTTTTTCCCCTCCTGGAGAGTAAAAGCTCAGCAGTTTGCATCCTGTTTAGATTTTGCAAGATTCCTAAATATGCACATGATTTGATTCTAAGTGTTCTGGGTCCTGGCACCCAGCTGGGGATTTCTGTTTGCTTGTCCTTGTAGTCAGAGTGTCCTGTGGGATCCTGCTGGGCCTCACTTCTGCTTGCTCTCCGTAGGGAGGAGCCCACCCTTAACTGCCCACACATTCCAACCTCATTTGGCAGACCCAGACCCAGGGACTGTAAATGATCTAACTAAGGCCCTCCAACCTTTCCTCCAGTGCTCATCTTTCCTACGAATATGCAGGAATTCCTCTGGCCAGGACCCAGCACCTGAAGGCCAGCCAGATGTGTTCAATGAGACAATAAAGTGAATAAGTATTGTCAACTCTACTGGCTCTGATAGGTCACAGGACCATTTCAAGCAGATGAGACCAGAACTGGCACCGATTTGTGCTGAATGTTGTTATCATCTATCCTCAGAACCCCATATCAAGCCAACCAAAGTCCTTCAGGAAAAACATAACTGGTATTTTTCTGTCTCAATATATTACTCAGCCCTATACCCCATTGATCTCTTTTTTTCATGTTCAGTGAAGTAGTTAATAAACAAGCTGTCTCATGAGGTTGCTCAGTTTCTGATCACACAGTGCCTGATTGCACCTATCCAGTGAGAACAAAGCATACCTTCCAAAGCCGCAAGACTTGAGGCTGGATCTGTGTTGAAATGGATGGAGTAGGGACAGGATGAAACAGCACAGTATTATAATGCCAGCTTATGTGCCAGCTTCTGTGTGTAGTGGGGTCTTTGGAAAAGGGCCTCAGAGGTGCATGGGTACTCTGAGGACTCAGGGGGCTGAGAATCTGAGGTTGGTGGCAAGGCAGGCCTCTTCTTGATCCTGCACACTCTCTGAGGCAGTCAGTGTTCTGTCTGCTGCTGCTAGGTCCCCTCAGCGGGTGCTGCAAATAACTACTTCTGTTGAGTTGTGGGACATGCTTGAAGAGACTGAAAGACAGGGGAGAGGAAGCGAATGGGATGTCAGGGGAGAAAAAGCAGCATTGGCATGCCCTTCCCCATTCCTTTCCTCTCTCACCCAAGAGTCATTCTCATGGAGGTAAGTGTTCCAAGTGCTCAGGACAGTCACCCATTCCTCTCTAGTGCTTCACAGCCTCGTAGAGCTGACCTGACTGGCCTCTTGAGAATTTGGATCCTTCTGGATGTGTGTCTGGCCTAGTGCTGTGAGTCCTTCCTGGCTGGGCTTTCTTCCCACTTCTCTGACAGAGTTTGCAGTGAGAGTTTCAACAGGGCTCCTCTCTGCCTGGCAGCTGGGACACAAGGTGAAGGTTCAGGAGTTTCAGATTCTTTCCAAAGTAGCTCCACATGTGTGGGAGAAATGAGCTGAAGCAAGTCACCTGACACGCATTCTTGCTGTGACCTCCCGAAGTTCGGCAAAGAAGAGGGGCTCCCACCAGGCGAAAGCTGTGCTTTCCACCTTAGTGAGGAGGTGGCGGTGATGAGTTAAGTGATAAGCTGAGCCCACTCCTAGGCTAACCATTGGCACGGAGGGTGGAGGCTGTAGACAGGGATGGACAGGAATGGATCAGCTCCCCCCACAGCCTTGCATCCAGGGCTGAGTTTCTGAAACACTATCACTGAGGAAAAATCCCAGCAATAATTGATAGAGGCAGGAGACTCCAGAGGTCAGGACCAGTCTGGGCTGCAGACTGTTTAACTGAGACCCTGCTTAAAAAATAAAGAAAGAAGGAAGAAGGAAAAAGGAAGGAAGGAAGGAAGGAAGGAAGGAAGGAAGGAAGGAAGGAGGGAGGGAAGGAAGGAAGGAGGGAAGGAGGGAGGAAGGAAGGAGGGAAGGAAGGAAGGAAGGAAGGAAGGAAGGAAGGAAGGAAGGAAGGAAGGAAGGAAGGGGAAAGGAGGTTGTCTCTGTAAGTGGGTGTTCCTCAGGTTTAAATATGTAGCTCAGATGTAATATCAACCTGCAGATCCAGGCTCTGAAGTGGGAACATTTTCAGGCACATCGTCACCGCTGTGTTCTGAGGACCTGTGGCAGGGCCTGGGATTGCTCCTGTGTAGCCACTGTTGGAACAACTGTACTGGAATGACCTTTCTCTGTGCTTAAAAAGCGAATGCTGTGTGCAAACTCTTACTGATGTTGCAGTGTTATTCTTAAACAGCACTGCTAGGGAGATTCTCATTGCTTCCTTTTCACACAAGTTATGCTCTGAAATGCCTGTCCAAGCTTCTTATTCAGGCTCACCACCGACAGCTCACTTTCTTTTTTTTTTCTTTATTAATTACACTTTATTCACTTTGTATCCCCCTGTGGTTCCCTCCTTCCTCCCGTCCCAATCCGTCCCTTCCTCCACCCTCTGCATGCATGCCCCTCCCCAAGTCCACTGATAGGGGAGGTCTTCCTTTCCTTCCTTCTGATCCTACTCAATTAGGTCTCATCAGGAGTGGCTGCATTGTCTTCTTCTGTGGCCTGGTAATGCTGCTTCCCCTTCAGGAGGAGGTAATTAAAGATCAGGCCAATCAGTTCAGTCAGAGACAGTCCGTTTTCCTATTACAATGGAACCCACTTGGATATTGAACTGTCATGGGCTACATCTGTGCAGGGGTCTTAGGTTATCTCCATGCATAGTCCTTGGTTGGAGTATCAGTCTCAGGAAAGACCCCTGTGCTCAGATTTTTTGGTTCTGTTGCTCTCCTTGTGGAGTTCCTGACAGCTCACTTTCTGAAGACTTGTATCACCCAGTCACTCATTCACTATGCTGAGGGTTTTTTGTTGTTGTTGTTGTTTTGTTTTTAAGAGTGAATGCAATAAGGCTTAAAGTCAGAGTTTGATTTTTTTATTATCCAGATGTTTCAGTATAATAGAGAAACATAAAAGACATAAAACAAAGGATGATTTACTTAACTTTTTATAGCAGAAGAAATAAGTGAAGCTTATTGTAGTCATATTTAAAGTTGGACATGGTGGCAGAAACCTGAATGCAGAACCTGGGCAACTGTTGTTGTGAGGTCTTTTATTTAGTCAGGGGCAACAGAGTGTGTGTGTGTGTGTGTGTGTGTGTGTGTTGCTGAAAGGCTAGTGGGTTCTGATTTATCTCCTAGGCTAGGCACACTTTATTCATGCCTTTCCAAATTACTAAACATTATTGCTGCCTAAGTGTGAGTCCACACAGGTAGGTTCATTTTCTCTCTATGCTGCATATATGTGATTGCATACATACTCACGGGTGGGAAGGTACAGTTCCTCTCCATGCTACATATGTGTGATCGAATACACACTCATAGACAGTAGGCGCAATTCTACATGCTACATGTGTGTGATTGAATATACACTCGGGTGGTAGGGGCAGTTTCTCTCTGTGCTACATGTGTATGATTACATATATACCTATAGGTGGTGGGTGCAGTTTCTACATGCTACATGTATGTGATTGCATGCTTGCACAGATAGGAATACTTTCTTGGTCTTTAATTTTTCATATACAAATAGTGATTCCAAGTTCCCAGTGGACTCCAATAAACAGGGTCCAGACCAGACCATCCTTTTCTTTTACCTTCTGCTGGCCTGATATGCAGCTCGCATGGCCAAGCTGGGACCATTTTTTATACAACTCACTTCCCAAACTATCTGTCCCATAGGGTATTGGGTAAAAAAACTGTTAAAATGAGAGTGACTAACCATCCTGACTTGCTTGAGACTTTGTCAGCACTGAAGTCATGGAACCCAAGAATACCCTGTCCTTGGTCACCCCCAAAATCTCATTGATCTTTAGGCCTGCAGTGGGGGCTGACTGGTCAACTCTGTGATGAAAACGCCTTGAGATAGCTCAGTGGTACAGACACTTGGTGCCATGCCTGATGACCCAAGTTAGATAATCAGATCCCCATGGTAGAAGGAGAGAGCTTACTCCCTCAAGTAACTACCTCTACCCACACAGGCAAGCACAAGAGTTCAAGAGCAAACATACACACACACACACGTTATAGAAACTTTGATGTCAAATTGAACTGAATGTAATTTTAAAGATAACTGTGAATTTGACACCCGTTTGAGGTTTTAATAAATCCAAAGTTCTTTGGAATTTTGAAAACGCTAAACATGGTAGGCAGAGAAGCTGATCTTTCCTTTGTAAGCACTAGGTGGCAGTGTGGCTCTGCAAAAATGCAGTTGGCCTCAGTTACATTTTTGGTGGTTATTTCCCACATGTAGTTTCCAGGAAGGTGAGTTGATAGCTTAGTAATTATACAGGATATTAATGAGCTTTCTTTATTTAGAATTTCAACACTCAACTCCACTTGTCCTGTGGACAGCTCAGTGTTCCAGTGCTGGACTTGCGTAATAATGGCTGTGGGGACAGGTACATGCCACCGTCTCCCTGGTGGCATGCATATAGTCTTTCTTTTCCCTTCTTCTCGCCCAGTTCCTTTTCTCTTTGTACTGAGGCATTTTTGTTATCACAACTGACATTTTTCTCTTCTCGTATTTTTTAGTGTGAGGACAGTTGGCCTTTGAGAACCGAGGATTCAAGTTGGTGAGGAATCCCATCAGGCAATTTTGGGCATGTGAACTCAGGCTACACAGTACACAATTCAGGACAAAGACATGCAAAAGCTTTCCTCTCTCCCTTCATTTTATCTTATTTAATCCTAGTTCCTAGGTCCCTCATGTTACTGCAAAACCTAGAGGCCACCATACATTTCACTGGGATATTTATACAAAACCCATCTTGGGGTATGTAGACAAAGATGTCTCTTCATGTGTAACGTGACTGCTTCTTGGTGGCCTGGGTACCCTGTGCACATCCTGGGTCAATTATTACCCATGCCTTTACCGACTAGGGAATGAAGGTCACCCTTCCTGTGAGCTCTGGCATCTGTAGCTGTGGTCTTCTGGCACAGACTCCATTCTTTGTTTATTTATTGTTTTAGCAGAATCTTGCTGTGTATCCCAGCACACTCCATTCTCATAATAAGCTGCTAAAACATGGGATTCCTCAGACCTAGCTGGCAGGCAACCAGCCTCCCTCCTACTTGGATCATGAGAATGTGCCTCATCAAATCCTTCAAGCCTGTGAAGAACTAAGGACCTAGGAACTAGGATCAGATATGGCAAAATGAAGGGAGGGAGGACAGATTTTGCATGTCTTTGTCCTGAATTATGTACAGTGAAGCCTGGGTTGACATGCCCAAATTTGCCCGATGTGATCCCTCACCAACTTGGATCCTTCGTTCTCAAAAGCCAGCTGTCCTCGCACTTAAAATAAGAGATGAGGGAAATGGCAGGGTAATTTAGGGCTTGCAGATGCCTCCCTCAGGAGCCTTACTTACTGTTGGTGTTTCATTTTCTTCCTCAGAAACTCTGAGTATACTTGATCATAGTTAGGTTCCCCTGTGCCCTAACACCTGTGTTTGCTGACAGTATAAGAACTTGGGTTTTTGAGAAGGAACATTTGGGGTTCTAGTTAATAAAGAATTCATCAAGACATTGTTTGATGTTAAAAGAGAAGGCTCAATAAAGAAGCAGTCTGAAGAGTAATTTCATGAGCTTCATCAAGCAGACAACCAACCTGAGTGATTTTGGTACCACATGGCCATTTCCTCCTCAGCAAGCTCCTGTTTGATCCTTGGTGTAAGAGAATGATGGTCTTGAATGACCTTTGCCCAAGAGGTTCGTGGAGACTCACCAAGTTATAAGCAGTATTCCCAGACAGGGCCCCTGTTCCTAGATATTGCTTCATCACCCTTTGAACTTACTGTTTCTAAATCCCTTAAGCAATATACCATAAAGTTTAGAAATGAAGTGTTGATATGGAATACATGAGGTGGAGGGACCCACATACCCCAGAGATAATGGGAGACAAGAAATATTGATATCTTCCCCCAACATGCCTGGATCATCCGTTGGTGACCTAGATGGGACAAGTTGGCACTTTGAGTATTCCCATTTCTGACCAGAGAACTAACAGTGTACACACTGGAGACCTTTCATTTGTGATTTTTTTTTTCTTGTGACTGTAGGGATTCTGTTTAGCACCACCTGAGGTTGGAAGCATTGCATATTGCTGTGATGGGGTGAAGGTCTCCTTGCTCTCACAACTCATGTAACCAATTACAGTCTTCTGAAACTTGTACTAGTGCTCACCTGTGGCTTTGACTTTTCAGAATGGACTTCGATGATGAAGATGGTGAAGGTCCCAGTAAATTTTCAAGGTGAGTCTATTTTACCTTTCTTAAGCCAACAGCCAGCAGTCACCTGACTGGCATGCACGGGCACTTGGTGCCTCTTGTCATTGAGCAAGCCAGTGTCTATATTTTCACCTTTTTGTGTATGCCTTGTTTAGTGCAAGTATTTGACCTAGTGACAGACAGCTATTAGTAATCCTGATGTGTCCCAAGCTTAGCCTGATGGTATATGCTTGAAATCTCAGCACTTGGGAGCATGAGGCAGGAGGATGGCAATTTTAAGGCAAATCTGAGCTACATAGCAAGAACCTGTCTCAAAAACCTGTAGCAAATAAAAAGAGGAGTAATTAATTAGTTCTTAATTCTGTTTGCTCTTAAATTAAACAGTAACTACTAACTTTGATGGACTCCCTTTTGAAAAACAAACAGAGGGTTCAAGTATAGAGAAAATGATCAACATGAATTCTTTCTTTCTACTAAGGAAAATAAGGAGAACTACAAGAAACGTATAGCCTGTTTGGAGGTGATATCAAGGTCCTCACAATCAAGCTTCTGACTATGTGACACCATCTTTAGCTGGCTCTGTGAGGCTGGCCTGTGCATATCCTGCCTTTTAGTAAGGCTCCCATGTCACCAGGCTGGTGGTATAAGGTAGCATGAACCATAGCTTCTGAGTCAGTTTGTTTTGTTTGAGACATTGTGGGACACTTGGAAGTGTGCTGAAAACAGGCATTGTTCCCTCATTCTTACCATGCCTCTTTTCTTACAGCAGGGCTTGCCCTGGTGCCCCCATCACTCAGACCTCATTTGTAGTTGTTGATTTTAGAAATTTATGGCGGGTGATAGATGTCTGCTGTATTCCTATTCCAGTTGGACTAACAGTCTTGGATGTTTAAAGCAGTATTGAGAAGTGTGATGTCCACATAGCACACTGAAGTGGCTGTCTACTTTTCTCCATGCTGGGCCTTTGGTTCTTTTTAACCATAACCAAAATGATAGCTGTGAGTTAAGCAGTGTTCTCTACAAATGCAGGAGGGCTGCATGACCCTCCCAGGGATTCCCAGGCTTCAAGTCTATAGTAAATATCTCCTCATCTCATGAACTTTACCACTGAGACCAGGCTCACCCATTTCCCAGCTTCATCCTCAAGTGAAGCATAAGAGATGAGCTGAGAACACATTTCTAACCCATTAGTGACCTTGAAGTTTCCAATCAAAACAAGATGTAATCAACAACAACCATTACCTCTTCCTGTGCAGACATGGTCATGCATCTTGGATGTCCATGTTTCTAAAGATGTGCCTTAATAGCAAGGGGTGTTCTGTTACTAGAAAGGAGCTAGCCTCAGAAATGGTTCTCCGCCACCCCCCCCGTCTGTCTCTCTCTGTGTGTTTGTCTGTCTCTGTTCTCCCTCTCTTTCTCTATGTGTGTGTCTGTGTGTTTGTCTGTCTGTCTCTGTTCTCTCTTTCTGTCTCTGTGTGTATGTCCATGTGTGCTTGTCTGTCTGTGTCTTTCTGTCTCTGATCTCTGTCTCTGTCTCTCTCTGTCGAGCTTTATCTTACCATACACAGCCTCTCTGTAGAAGAAACAATGACATTTAGTCCTCTAAATCAAAGTTCCCTTGAGATTACATACCACAGCATGTTAACCTCAGGAAATGGCGATGCTGGTTCTCAGGATGTAAAGAGGAAGAGCAACATAGATTGACATTGCAGATCAGTGTCAGTGAAGAAAGAACAGCAGAGATACACAGAGTTCATTGTCTTGGGCCCAACTGTGAGGAGGCAATAACCTCACACTGTGAAACACTCTGAGCCTGCCAGTGAGTCACATGTTACACAGTCAAGTTCAGTCCTTGGCTTCTACCAACCACATCCTTTCCTCTGTGCCTTAAAAATAAGAGAGAGCTGGAATGTGCCTTCAGCATGTGCTGTTACTTACAGGGCTGAGTTCATGGGACCCCAGAGGCACTGACTTCAGTACAATATGGTATTTGAAATAATCCATGGCTGACAGACCTATGGGCACATCTGAGTTGCTCAGGGTGGGGGAGACAACCAAGTTCACTCCCTACCTTCCACTTAATCATCCAGGGGTCTCCTGCCAGCCTTTGTAAGGTACACTCTAAGGCCTCTCCCAGTTCCTGCCCCCATGCCTGCAGTCAGTTCATAGTAGTCCCATCAGGCAAGGAGACTGTGATGCAAGACAGTTCCCATCCTTATTAGTTGATTCATAATCTGGGCAGATGCAGTATCATGATCTCTGCCTCATGCTGTAAGTCTAGAGAGCATTCCCAGATTTTCTCAAGGATGGTCCTGGATCTTTATGTTCTGCTTATCATCATGCTTTATACCTTGACTTTGGATTTGGGAAATATGGTCCAAGACATATCAGCTGCATTATGGTGGCTGGAGCCCCGTCGAAGGCCTGATCACATGTGTATACTGTTAGGGAGCTGGGTGTCGATGTGGGTGCCCAAAGGAGACAGTGACAAATAATCTCAAGGTAATGGATATGGGTCACATGAGCTTCAAAAGAGGGAGTCTCTTTGCTCAAGAGGTTCAGGAATGCAAATCTAAAGCTTGGCTTTCTTTCTCAGCATGGCCTAAGGAAGCTGCCTTCACTGGCTACCACTGGGCTTGACTTCTATTCCCTCACAGTCCCTAACAGCAGGCAGGGATGAGCTCTCTGCCTCTAGAAGACTGATGACACACCAGACCAAAGCATAAACCTCCCCCAAAGGACTCCAGAACCTAGTAGCATCCATCCTTCAAAAGGTCAGCATCCTGATAGCATAGCCAATCCACAAGCCTGCACTCAAAGGAAGGCCTAAGCCTTCTCACAACACTGGCCAGCCCAGGGTAGCTTCCCACTTGAATACACAGGATGCTTCTGTGCTGCAGGTGCCATCTGCTGCCACTAGTGGGGAAGTGACATTCCAGTTACTGTTTCAGAGTGTGGACAACTGACATTCCCAAGTGATTATCAAAAGTCAGAGTTACACACTGTACTCTCCATGTACTTTACACTTCCTCGGACCTCTTCCCTGTGTCAGGTGAGGCAATGAGAGGCATTCAGGCTTAGCACAAAACTGCATGGCTCCTCTTAGTCAGTCCTGCCTTCATTGACTTGGGTTCTGGGGTTCCTGCATGTACTCACTAAGACTTCTGTTTAAGGAGCCCTCCTCATCACATACTTTCATAATCTTCTATGGCCTTAATCTTTAGGTCGCAGGAGAATGACACCATGATTGTGTCAGCACCTCATGGACATCAAGAGGAGAGTTTACGAAGTGTCCCCTTTCTGTATGTAAATCAAGATGGATGACCCCCCTACTATTCTAAGTAAACTCTGGAGGCACCTTTGCAGCAGAGCTGGAAAAGAAATACAAGTCAGCATGCAGCTAGCTGCACCTCCTTCTTTGCCCTTGATTCCCTCAGTTGTCCCCCTGGGGCAAAGCTCTGGTCTTTTTGGTTCAGCAGAGGTGTCACCTCCTCTTGCACCCCAGCTGTTCTTGCTGCAGTGTCCCTACCCTGCTCCCACATATGTAGCGACAGGTTTCCTTACTGTGGCTGCCTGCCTTCCAGCAATTATGGGTGCTCATAGATACCACATTCTCAGGCCTAACAGATTGATTCCATTGTCCCCTCTGGGGGAGAAGATGAACTTGGACCAGTGAATAGGGTCTTAAGCATGTATTATTCTCTTTTCACAAGATAGCATTCCCTCTCCTCTATATCCTTGAGGGCTTCAAAATGAAATCATGCACATCAATGCATACCACTTGTTTCTCAGATCTTGTTGCCAGGCAACTGGCAGGTCTTGGTTCTTTTAAAATGCTTGGTTCTTTTAAATGCGAGAAGCTCAGGCTTATTTCATAGAACTTAAGATTATTGTACCATTTCCTGCACTGGTCAGTGAATGTGTTTTTTTTAGCTTTTAGATCTTCCTGTAATTGTTTTCTTCATTCACCTCAGTCCACAAATTAAGTTTATTTATGGATCCATCAGAGAATCTCAGAAAGACCCCTCTCCATGTTTATAGAGGGAAATTAATCCATAGCAATATAGCACTGTTGCTCAACACAGACTCTAGCTGAAAGATTTGGACTTGCCTCTGTAGGCTTGGGGTCACTGAAGAGCTATAATGGGTCAGACTTGCATTCGGACAACTGTCAGTCTGGCTACAATATAAGGTCTAAGATGCGGGGGAGGGGAGATGAGAGAAGGCTTAGCCACGTGGTGCAGGTAGTGACAAGCCGCAGTGGGCAGTGGGCATGGGCATGGGCATGGGCATGGGGAAGGGAGAAGAGTCAAGAGGGTTTTGCAAGAGTTTTGGCAGGGACAGAAGTTTGTGGTGAAGAAGCCATTCAGCATGTGCTGGACTAGAGATAAGTCAAAATAGACATTGTGTTCTTATGATTCAGAGAGGCACTAAGTGACAGAATATATACTGGAATACAGAAGGAGACCAAGGGAGAAGGGGGGGTTGCTGATGGGTCATCCTAAAGGTCAGTGGAGCGAGCAGATTCTCCTTGAGGGTTGCTCTGCACAGCAAGGAAAGTCTGTTTCACGTGATCCCCACAGGAACATGCAGGCAGGTGAGGAAGTTCTGCCCATAAGTGCCTGAACTTCATCAGCCCGTACACTCTCAGAGCGCCACCTTCTCTAGGTGCCAGGGAGTGTGGGGGTATGCACTCTGGATCTTGCCCTACCTTGGGCCTCCTGGACAAAGGTCCATTGAAGAAGTGGTCTGCACCACATGACCAGCTCTGTGGCTGTGGAAGGAGCGTAAAGAGACCCTGGTCTCTCTGTGGCAAGATTCTTGCCTGTGTTCAAGAGCTTGAAGTCCTCTGACCAAATTCTGTATTGTATCACTTTCTTTGGCTTAGAGGTGCCCAACCTTAATCTTTCCTTCTCTATTTGACTCTTTTCCCCCTCCTCAGCAAGCTCTTCCCACTTCTGCCTAAAGGATGGAGACTTTCGAGACCCTAGAGAGTGTTTGCAACGTACAAGAGCTTGGTGCTTCCCTGGACAGTTTCCATCTTTCAGGCAGTCATCTGTGGGGTGGGGTTGGCCTCAGGAATCTGCTTGCTGGTGTTAACCTGTCTTCCTCCTGTCTCCTACATGGGTCATCCTCCTCTGAACCTCTCTAAAATGTCGGCTACTACATCAGGGCCCATTGGCTTTGCTTACATTAGATTTCTCACTGAGCTCTGGCTGCTCCCCAGCTTTCCAAGCTTCTCAACTTCCTCTTACACAAGGTCTACCCCTCTTACAGGAATGCCGCTCCCTCTCGCAATGTGTCCTCCCAATCCTAGGCCTTCCTTTGACCCTCCAGACAAACCTTCCAGAACACACCTTCCTTTTCTCCTGCCACATAGGTCTAACTTTGCCTGCTGATCCCAACCCCTTCTAGACCCTCCCCTCTATGTCTTTTTCTCTCCTATCTTTTACCTTCCAAGGTGTTTCAGAACATGTGATCAAATGCCACCCCTGGGTTCTGCTGTGCACAGTGGACGTTTTGCTTTCCTGCTTAATGAGCCTGATGCTTGAAGACCATGTTGGGTGTCCTTGTTTTCTCTGCCATCCTCTACCCCTGGCGGTGCTGGCTCAGGACTCCTTGAATGGAAATCATGCTCACACTAGTTCGCCCAGGGGCTGGCTGCTGTGTTCACAGAGGGCCTCTCGGCACACACGGCATTCACATCGCCACACCTCTGCGGCTGGCGACATGCTATCCCGCTTCCCTGGAAGGAAGGGTGTAAAGATGATGAATACATGCAGTGTGTGGAGCAACCTTGCCTGGGGATCTTCTTTTCTTGCTGTTAGTGTCACTTTCCTTCCTGGAGAAACCACGAAGCCCTCCGTCCTGCATCAGCAGACACAGATTGTATTTTTACTGTTTCATCCCAGTAATCACCTTTGTCTTAAGTGTGTTAAATGAGGTTGGCTGTTACTCTCTTTTGAGCCTAAAGGTAAAAAATAATTTGAGGCAGAAATATTCTCCCAGCCCTTCTGTTGTTTTTTCGTTTTAAACATCCCAGAGATGGAGCTGGGTAAGCCAGGATCGCACCTGTTCTGTTACTATGCTGCAGGAAATGCACTGGGTGTAGAACAAAGACACACTCAACTTTATATAAAGTAAAGCTGTGTCATCAGTGGGCTCCTTAGTGACACAACAGTAGTAACGCTTGTGAGGCATTAGATACTGCCAGCCCATTGTCAGCTGAGGGTATTGTTAAGGAGAAAGGCATTGATAAAGCCCCTGCCAACATCTCAGCCTGGCTTGGGCTGCCTTCAGCCAGATTAAGCATCTAGCACATTCCTACTTTAGAGTGGGGTGTTGAGGACTCATGAGGTATATTGAATGTTGTATTGAAGGTAAAAGTAGCATGGTAGTGTGGGTATTCATCATTATTGGCTGCTTTATGTATTTTGAGGTACAGTGTTTACTGAATGGATCATCACCATCAAAAACATTAAAGGAGCATAAGTTAAAGGCTATCTTACAGTGCCTCATATTATGAGGTATATAAATCACATGTGTAAGGAGTCAGAAGCTACATTAGTAAGTATATGTCCACACATATTCATGTTTAAGTATATGTCCAAACATGATTCATGTTTAAGATCATGCTTATACACAGAAAGCCTGCTAGGATGTTTTAGTCTTCCATGGTCCCTGGTCTTAATTTTGCATGTCCAAGAAAAGTCCATAGACATGTGTGTAATTTAGGAAAGGCCAATACATATTTAGAAAAGGAGATCACGGAGGTCCATGCTCCCCACACATAGACAAGAGCTTACTGATCTATCAGGGCTCGGCTTCAACCACAAGTGCCCAAAGCACTGAGCCATTATAAGTTAGGCCCAGGAATTTGGCCATCTGATACTAACAGTGTGTTATCTTACCCCAATGTCTGGTGACCCCTGGTCTGATCCTTCTCTTTTTCCCTCCCCCTAACCTCTTGCTTTCTGGGAAGAGAGAACCACAGTGAGATTGAGCGGCGCAGGCGGAACAAGATGACTCAGTATATTACGGAGCTCTCCGACATGGTTCCCACCTGCAGTGCACTGGCTCGGAAGCCAGACAAGCTCACCATCCTGCGTATGGCGGTCTCACACATGAAGTCCATGAGGGGCACCGGGAACAAATCTACTGACGGCGCATACAAGCCTTCCTTCCTCACTGAGCAGGTGCCACAGCGTTACTCTTCTGGTGTTGTGGCTGGTGGAAGTGGGAAAGAGCCTTGGGGTCACAAGCCTGAGATAAACTGTGTGGTAACGTAGCATTCGGGATTGGGGAAGGGGTGAAGGCAAGAAAGTTTGCTTCCATATCTCAGCAGGAAGTATTCCCCACCCACCCCCACCCGGTCTTATAATCTTTGCCCCCTGCCTCCTCTCCTCTATCCCATCCTCACACTCTCCACCCCATTTACCCCTCTCCTCCTCAGAGAAGGGGAACCTCCCCCATGGGTATCAACACATCATGGCACACGGGCACATCAGGTTGCAGCAGGACCAAACACATTCTCTCCCACTGAGTCCAGACAAGTCAACCCATCTAGGGGAAAGGGATCCAAAGGCAGGCAACAGAGCCAGAGACAGTCCCCACAACAATTGTTAGGAGACCCACGTGAAGAACAAGCTGCACATCTGCCACATATGTATGGGGGGCCTAGGTCCAGCCCATGCCTGCTCTTTGGTTGATGGTTCAGTCTCTGTGAGGCCCCATGGGCCCAGGTTAGTATACTGTGTAGGTCTCTTCAAGAGTGCCAGATCTGTCTATATTCTACTCTTTTAGCTCCTATAAACCTCATTAAGGGGTAGTTTTAAAAAAATGTGATGAGCATACTGACACAGGAAGATGGCAGTGACAAAGGTAGCAAGCGGGTAGTCTTGCCATGAGAGTCACAACAGCTGTGATGGTGATGACTACGGGGTCATCACAGCCAGCACTGGAAGGCATCCGTGGTCCTGGTCCAAGTCACATCTTTTTGTGCCATTCATTTTTTTTTTCACTGAAAAGCTGCTGCTCTTCATCGCTGTTTGACAGAAGAGGAAGTTGAAGCTTAGAGAGCATCCCTTGCAGGCATTCCCCCGGGTTGTTTGCTTAGAGAAGGAACTGGAGAGTGGTCTACTGGACTTCCTTAAAGCCATGGATTTATGCCCATGCTAACTCGGGAGAGAAAATTGCATGAAATAGCAAGGTGGCACTGGTAGATGGGCTTATACGAGCCAGGAAGCTTGTCTTCCGAGTCCTTGTCCTTCCTGTGGTGGTCACAGTGAGCATAAGCTGGCACCTAAAGCTTTAGTTGACTCGTCTAACTAAACATGAAGCTTTGACTTTCTGACTTCCATGGCTTTCCTAAGATAAATGAGCCGATGGGCTCAGTGGAAAGAGATGAAATTACATGGTTGTCAGAGGTGTTAGTTTGGAAGTGCCAAGTACCCCATGTGTGGAATCTTGAGTAATGTGGTGTTTAAGAAGGTAGGACATGAGGCCAAAATGAAATTGAAAAGTGACTGTGGTGCAGGGGCCGTGCTCAGGACAGAGGCTGTGAAGGAACCACAGAACGAGCACAGAAGAGGTCAGCATGGGGACTTCCAAGAGGGGCACAGTATGTACAGAGGGAGGAGAGGAAAAGGCACGAGGGGTTTCTAGTTGTGCTGGTGCAGAGTATCTGTCTATGTTGTGACAGCAGCTTTAGAAGAACAAGGGAGATAAACCAACTCGATTGCCCTCTGTCCTCCTGTGCAGGTGCCGTACACACTCTGATCCCTTTTAACTCCTCTCAAGGGTCACTTGATCCCTCATGCTGAGGGTTTCAGGAAGAAGGTAGTGGCCATATTTGGTCTTAGAGATAATGGAGCATGGTGGTCCAGGTACGGGCTTCCACCCACATTCCCGTCTCTATAAAAATGAAAGGCATGCTAGCCCCCAGTTCTGTGATTGTGGTGGGGAAAGGCATCCCCGTGCAGACTGTGGTGGGGGTGTTACTATAATGAAGATGAATGGCGAGACACGACCTGTCTTAGACAGAATTAAGTACTACTAACACCAGGGTCAGTACAGAATGTTTTCCCTGAATTTATTAAATTCTTGCCAAAGGACTCTAAGTGACTCCACAGATGGCAGCGAGAAGGCAGCTACACACTTATGTGCCCTATCCATGCTTCTCTCTTGGCCATATGTACACTTAAAGAGTCCTACTATATGGCAAACCCTTACTTAGCCCTGCACGCCAGAAGCTCACTTAACCTCCCAGAACTTCGCTGAAAGGAATCTTTATAAAATAGTAGAAGCCAAAGCCATTAAATACCACACCGGGGTTGTACAGTTACATGGAAGGGCATGGATGGGATCTTTTTCACTCCCAAACCCATAGTGTCTTACCAGAGAAAGGAGGAAAGGCCAGTTATGAGTAACGAGCTCTCAGATGATGAACCTCGGGAGGGAGGGTGTGAAGATATGGGTGATGGTGGCTCTGTCCCAGTGGGCCTTTGCAGTCCTTGCAAACTGTGTAGAAACATGCATGTATGCATAAACAAAGCCACCCAACCTCCTCCAGTGACACAGAATTCTCTCCTTCCCCAGACATCTTACCCTGATTTTTTTTTAAAGGATCTTCCTGTTGGGAAGATTTTTCCTGACACTGCGAATAAAAATGCTGACATTCTTAGAACCACGGAAGAATCTAAGAGACACAGGAAGCAGAGGTGCATATGGGGAATTGACAGAGTAAACTTTTGGTTGAAAAATGCTTTTGCCATCTGCATCCACACTGATTTCCCAGGCTGAGTGCATTTGAGTGGCTCCCCAGCCACAAATTTTCTAGGTTGTGCTCTGAGAAGATTAAGATCTTCTGTAGACTTGGGTCTTTGGACCCTCTTGGGCATTAGGAGGGCACTCTGACCAGAAGTCCTGGATTCCATCCTTTGCTTCCTCTCAGCTAGCCCTGACTGTTGTATGATAACCATTCCATGCGGGATTATGTTTGAACACTGAGCCTGGGATGGGGAAAACGGTTGCTAACTGCTGACCCCAAGGGACCTGGTCAGTGTGTGAGAAGGTTGGGAGTGTTTGTGGGAGAGTCAGCTCCACACCTCCCGCAGGCCAGGAGTCTGGGTATTTTATTTAGCTTGATGAGAAAGTGTATAGATAGTCACCACTGAGCCGCCTTTAGGTATGGATAGCTCATTTTATAAAAATTGGCTCTTTTGTGGCCCCTGACGTGACAGCAGGGTTTCTTGCTCATCCATTAGTTGCAAGCACTTCCTTTCTGCCTTTAATGACTGTCATATCTCTGGTAAGCCTATGTGCTCCCACAGCCAGCACACCAGCCTCTCCTCGGTGATGTGGCTAGTTCATTGTTCTCTGCTGTGTCCTGTGCTGTTCTTGTCTGCTGAGATGATGATGATGGCTTTCAGAGTTCTGGAAGCCCAAAAGACATATGTAAGTTAAGGGGACACCCTTCTATACAGTGTGAGAATTGAGCTGGGACATGCAGGAACAGGAATGCAGTATCCCCACACAGTAGGAACAGTAGGAAGACTCTGGTCTGCTTCTCTCTTGTCTCCCTCTCACCCTCATCCCTTTCTACCGTCTAGGACCCTTTGTGCCATGTGCCATATGCTGGGCCTCTCTGCAGCATGATGACATCAGTTTCAGTACCTGAGGGAGGTAGCTCAGATAACTGGCAACTCTGCACTCCTGATCATCATTCCCTGCTCTCTCACCTCCCCTCACTGGACATCTCCCCACTCATCTCTCCAAGAAAAGATAGTGTGTTTTAGGGATGGTGCAAGTTTTGTGCCTTTTTCTAAAAATAAGCTAAACAGGTGAAATGATGTTCACCAACCAACCATTTGTACACCAAAATGAAGAGCTACCTAAAGGAAGTTTAAGTTGCTAATTAGGAGAAGATAACTGATCTGGGCCTGTTAGTACACTTGCTGACCATGGCCTTTTCTCCCCAGGAACTGAAGCATCTCATCCTTGAAGCCGCTGATGGATTTCTGTTTGTGGTGGCAGCTGAGACGGGGAGAGTGATCTATGTGTCTGATTCTGTCACTCCTGTTCTGAACCAGCCACAGTCCGAGTGGTTTGGGAGCACCCTCTATGAACAGGTGCACCCTGATGACGTGGAGAAACTGAGAGAGCAGCTGTGCACTTCGGAAAACTCCATGACAGGTCGGTGTAACTTTGGGGGGGATGGCCATTTGACCTTAAAAATTGTTCTCCCTAGCAGGGAGTGGTGGAGCATGTCTGTAATCCCAGCACTCGGTGAGACAGAGGCAGGTGGATCTCCGTGAGTTTGGGGCCAGCATGGTCTACAAAGCGAGTCTAGGACAGCCAAGACTACATAAAGAAACCTTGTCTTGAAAAAAAAAAAATTTGTTCTCCCGCCGGTGGTGGTGTGCACCTTTAACACCAGCACTTGGGAGGCAGAGGCAGGCCAGCCTGGTATACAGAGTGAATTTTAAGACAGCCAAGGCTACACAGAGAAACCCTGTCTCAAAAAAAAGTGTTTTCTTCAGTAAACACATTGGCAAGCTAGAATTCATAAAATATCCTAAAGATGGGATGATATATTTTATTTAGTTGGTGTAATGACTTCATTAATAGTATCTTAAAATATTCATTTAATATGTCACTTTTTTCTAAATTTTACCATAATTAGAGTATGTGGTCAGTAGGAGGTGTCCTTGCTACATTAGTGAGACCCAAATGTTCTCTTTGTATCCCCATGGTACCCGTCACTTAACAACCTAGGCCTTAGCCACCTGAGATACAGTTCCTTATTGAAATATTTAAGTAAGTCTGCCATAACATAATAGACACCTTCTTCAAAATGACCTCGCTGTACAATGCATGCAATAAGATCTATAGAATTCACTGGGGAAAGCGGGTTGGAAGTAAAACAAAACAGACAAAAGTAAAAGTAGGAACTTAGTGAAAATGACAGCATGGCTTTAGTGACAAGTGGAAATTCATAAATAATATTAAGCCTGATTCTTGACCTGGAAAATAGCAACTTTGGCTGAGGAAACCAGTCTTAGGAGATGTTGTCTCCTGTGTGTTCTCATAAAGTGCTGCCAGGACAGCTATGTGAAATCAGAGTTTCTACACCAATTGTAGATAACTCATGGTGAACTCACTGCTGGTAGGTGGTTGGGGCGTGTGAATGATATGGCTCTCTGTGTGGCCTGATTCAGCCCGGTGCAGTTTTCTCTGCTCATCTACTATTTTTCATGGGTAAGCAAACACAAAACCCACATTTTCTCCAATTGTTCCCTCCCGTATCCCTCAAAAAAGAACAAACTTATATTTTCATAACAAAGGTCACAGATGCGTTCTATCAAAATGCTTGCATCCTTCTATATAACATACATATGCGCTATGTTCCTCCCTGACTATATGCAGCTGCGGTTCTTCATTTGTGTCTAGTACAGTGCTAAATTCTGATAGTTTGCATGCAGTAGCCACTCAGCAGGAGCCTAGTGAATAAGTGAGTCACTGTTCCTGTTGTCAACTCAGGCCTCTGTGACATGTGCCATAGACTAGGTAACTCCGACTCAGGAATTGATCTTCTCTTACTTTGGAGGCTGGAAATTTAGTCTCTCAGTCCACTTCATCTACAACAAACTACTGTGAACTGTGTAGCTTTAAGGGCATGAAAAGATGGCTCAGTAGCAAAGAGCTCTTGCTTCTCTTCCAAAGGACCTGAGTTCAATTTTCAGCATTTACACTGGGCAGCTCACAACTGCCTGTAACTCCAGCTCCAGAGGCTCCAAAGCCCTTTTCTGGCCTCAGCAACCAACTGCACTCACATTCACATACTCATGCACACAAATCAAAAATAAAAGGTGTGCGTGTGTATGTGTCCTCATGCTAAATCTCTGTTTATGTACATTCTCACAGTTTTAGAACTGTCGGGCAGAGTGAATGGAATTTTATGTAAGAAGTGGGAAATAGTAAGAGCTGGAGGGGACGGGAACTCCACAAGCAGAGCAACAGAACAAGATAATTTGAACACAGGGAACTTCCCAGAGACTCATACTCCAACCAAGGACTATCCGTGGAGATAACCTAGAATTCCTGCACAGGTGTAGCCCATGGCAGTTCAGTGTCCAAGTGGGTTACATAGTGATGGGAAGAGGGACTGCCTCTGACATAATCTGATTGGCCTGCTCTTTGATCACCTCCCCCTGAGGGGGGGAGCAGCCTTACCAGGCCATGGTAGAGGACAATGCAGCCACTTTTGATGAGAACTGATAGACTAAGATCAGAAAGAAGAGGAGAACCTCCCCTATCAGTAGACTTGGGGAGTGGCATGCATGCAGAAAGGGGAGGGAGAGTGGGATTGGGAGGGGAGGAGGGAGGGACTTATGGGGGGATACAAAATGAATAAAGTGTAATTAATAAAAAAAAACTAAAAAGAAAAAAAAGAGATTAGGAAGTCTAAAATCAAGCTATAAGTAAATATGTCTGGTGAGGGTGCACCTTCTGGCTCATAGATGATGCTTTTGAGCTGTGTCCTCAAAGGGTAGAAAGAACTATCACAGCCACAAGGGTTCCATCCCAATGACCTAATGCTCCCATCACCCTGGGGATTAGGATGCCAACCTGCCAAGTTGCAGTCAAGCGTTCGGTTCATTTCATTCAAGATCATGGTGTCAGCAGGGCTATTTCTCTTGAGACCTCTCGTCAGTTTCCAGATGCTTCCCTTTCAGTCCCCCAAGATCTTTGTTTCTGCCTGCATTCCTCATACCTCCCCTACTCTTTGGAAGGATACCAGTCATATGACCTAGTTTTGCCTTAATTGCCTCTTTAAAGGCCCTGCTCCGAAAGTAGTCATATTCTTAGGTTCTGGCAGTTAAGTCTTCAGCCTATGAATTTTTGAGAGAGGGTCACAATTCTACCCGTAATACCTAGAATCATATCCAGTCCTGTGGTGTCTGGACTGGCAGAGGTTAAACTGTTTCTGAAGGTTGGTACTCGTTTTCTTAGTGCGAGTGATCCACAGATAGAGATTTAGCGTGGGGATGGGATTTGTATGTGAAAGAAGAACCCAAACTCAGACTCAGACACTGTAGCTCCCTCTTTGGACTGACTGTTGTAAGGAACACAGAATGTAAAGTTCAATACTTGGGAACTGTGTGAAAAGAAGTCAGCCAGGAAGTGCTGGTTGTAAAGCTGAAGTCATCCCCTCTGGAAACAGCTGGGGTGTTTTTTTGTTGTTATTGGTTTGGTTTGGTTTGTTGTTGTTGTTCTCCCTAGACTTTCTGTATTTGGCCACAGTATGTGGCTTCTTCAGATTCATCAAGAGACACAGCTGGGGCATATGGCAGGGGAAGTGGTGGCCAAAGGCAGTGCGGATTCAGTCCAAGAGTGCTGCTAACTGGCTCACAGGCGGCTCCTGGACATTTCTGTGTGAAGTCTTCATGCATCTGGCTGAGTAGAAACGACTTTGGAGGGATTGTGAGCAGTACCCACAGCTGATAGAATGGGTCCTGACCCTTAGGGAATAAGAGGCCACGGGATTCTTTTTGGAGTCACGCAGTGAAATAGACTCTTCCAAGATACACACAAGACTTTTTGACCTGGGGAGATAGCTTAGAATGGCTCCTTGCAGCATGGCTGCATGCTGACAGGCATGGGGCTCACTGGTGCCCAGAACAGGCTGGAGTTTGATTATTGAGTATCCAAAGTGCACATTTAATACATTTTTTTTTCATTAGAAAGTCTTAAGAGTTACTTGATGCCTTTGATTATTGGACAAGGCTCTCAAATCCTTTTGCCCCTGAACCTCTGTGGTCTAAGGTAGAAATAAGTAAGGGAGTTAAGGTGGCAGGTCCAGGATCAGGAATCTAGGCAAGGCTTGCTAGAATAGAGGTGTCTTAAGGAGATCAGCCAAGTCCTTCCCTTAAGGAAGACTCCCTCCCCTGAACCCCTCTAGGGAGTGGATGTCCCATTCATTGGATCTGCAGCTCCATCTGTACTGAACATAGGCAGGGAATACTCTGTGTGTGTGCACAGTGAGAGAAAGGACAAAGAGGGAGCCAGAGCAGTGTGTTCAGCCTGCCCTGTTGGTCCAGGGACCTAGGCAGTGATATTTGCACAGAGGTGTGGAATCAAGAAGAGATAGTGGGGCTCCTTGTTGGGTTAAATCTTTCCATAGCTGGTCAAGTGTGGACAAGGGTAGTGGTCCACAGAGGTGTGGATCATTGCAGTGCTTTGGTCTTTCTGTGAATAAGCTTTCTAATGTTGTTGGGAGACAATGATGATGCTATCCGCTGGCAACAGCATTGCTGAAAATAGACAGAGCCATAGAAAGGGAGCTAGGAGACTCTCCTTTTTTTTCACTCTGGTCTTGTCTTGGTGATCTTGGGAAGTTCTTTTCTTCTTTGATCTTTGTTCTTCTTATCCCAGGGCAGGGGATCCCTAAAGTTCCTACCAGCTCTGATTTTATTCTCTCGTCTAAGGTTACCAAATAGGATCTAATCCACTGGGTAGGAATGGTAGGAGGAGGAAGCGCTGAAACCTGGAGCAGTAAGAAGATAGGCCAGTGCTGTGCTAAAGTGCTGTCACTCCCATTCCAGAAGGCAGCAATGGCCTTGTGGAGGAAGTAGGGGTGTGTCTGATAACCTCTATCCAGCCTCTGCCTACAGTGTTGATGGCTCTAAGAGTGCAATGGTCACCAACTGGCTGTATATGCTGAGTGTCAGTGTGCTGTTCAACAGAGCTACTCATAAAACCAGGCTCTGTACTGACTGTTTGACAAAAACATGAATCCATGAATCAAGGCTTATAGGAACCCAACCCTGAACTTCCCTTGGGAGCAGTGGGTCAGTGTTTCCTCATTCAGTGTCCACAGTAGCTTTATGAAGCATAAGTGTACCAAATAATGTAAACTCACCCTGAGTCTTTTTTATTTATCCCCAGTTCTCCTTTGTTTTGTGTGGGGCTCTCCAGCGACGTCACACATGCATATGCAGCTCTGGGCTTCAAGCCTCTGGCTGTGCAGCATGTAATATCCAGAATGGCTTTCTGCCAAAGTCTGTGAGTGTTCCTGGCTTGCCTTTCTTAGCACTGTTTAGATTCCTTTGCTCTGTCCTGCCCTGACCCATGCTGAGGGCTAAGGAGACTCAGAGCTAGGCTTTGAGACCAGCCTCTTCATCCAAGGCACT